AAGAAAAAAAGCTCATGTCAAATTAAAAAAAAAGGAATTACCAGACGTGAAAATTGGGGGACTCCGGTCCCACTTAATAAGGGGCACTCACCAGAGATGAAAAAAGGCACTTATGACAACGAAAAAAGGAGCAATTATCAGAAGAGAAATGTCACTCACAGGTTAAGGTGCACGTGTCAAAATAAAAGAGGCACATATAAGAATGAAAAGAGGGAATACAAAAGAAAAGAGGCACTTGTCAAAATACAAGGGACACCTCTCAGACAGTTTTAAAAGAGGCAATAAGAGGTGAAGGGGTGCTTATTAGAGATGGTGAGGCGCGCTTCTTGTACCTAAAAAGGGGCACCACCTGAGTTGAATAAGGGCAACTGTGAGAATTGAAAGAGGCACTTATTAATAAAGAAAATGGGCACTTGTCAAAGGAAAATGGGAATATATTTGATTCTAATAGAGGCATCTATATATCAGAGGTGTATATAACAAGTGCATTATGAGAAGTGGAAGTAGCTCTTATCATAGATGAAGGGGGCACTAAATTATCAGTGGTGGTAAAAGGCACTCAGAAAATTCTGGAACGGACAACCAGTAGAAATAAAAAAAAAGGGGCAGTTATCTTAGTCAAGAGGGCATTTTACTATTTAAAAAGGGGCACTTTAGGAGTACCTAAAAAGTGCGGGGTACTGTGCCCCTAGCCTCTGCCCCCGGATCCGCCGCTTTTGGGTTTTAGGCATTTCAGATGAGCCTATTTTGATACCTTATTTGTGACACGGACAGGTCACTATACTTTTGTTTAATGACGTAAATCATGGTCTGAAGCAATAACTTGCTAAAGATTAGTTGACCCTTTATTTTTATGAGTACATTGTATAGGTGAAAATTTATTTCTGTTTAAAATATAATACAAGCGAGTCCCGTATCATCTCTTCCTCTCACATAATGTTTGTGGTTTGTGAAATATTTGTTTTGTAGAGCAATATACATAATAGGCAAGGGTGGCGCTAAGTTTCATTTTTGCGTCCCGGAATCATACCAAAAACAATTAAATCACACGCACAAAAGCGGTGAGATATTGCTTCCGGCCACAGGACACAACAAAATTGGCCAAAGATACACGAGTTATGATGATGCCCTCAATGTTCTTGACCTTCCCACACTGGAGGAGAGGAGGGAAAGGTCCCCCTTCTATCACTGGCTCCCCCCTACGCGAGCTTCCCGCACTTCCCGCAACCTGCGCAACGCTAAAGACTATTCAGGAATAAAATGCAAAAATGAGCGCTACAGAATACTCAATTCAAAACTGGAATAATGTAAAGACAGATCTCTTGTTCTTAATGCTAAGCATTTACGTAAATCAAATTGTTATCTTATAGATGTGCTTGAATGACAAATTATATTGTTTACTGAAGGTACATGTTTTGTTTATACGGATTATACTAATTTCAATATTGCATTACCAACCATATTCTCTATTAGCCAATAATAGGAAGTGAAACTATAATTTCTCCATTCGTCTTAGGTGAATTATAATTTTATGTCCATTTTGTTCTCCATATACATGTATCTTGCTCACATGACATTATAGGCCTACTTTGAAGCATGCAAAACAGATAATTTTTCTTTGCACTGATCATAATTTATTCAACTATTATATTCTTCCTATGAATTTTCTCAAGTCATATCATAAAACACTTATTTTTCCACATCCATTACCCACTTCCGTTATCCCACCATCAATATTCTTTGATCTAAGGTGTACCTATTATTGTTTGTTATGAATGTACTATTTTTAATGACTTTGTATACTATTGTATTTTGTGCAGTATCCTTGTGTCATTACTTATGTAAATTGCACTCAATTCAGCCGAAAGGCTGCCATGTACAATGTTTTTTATAACACAATATATAAATAAATAAATGTACGTTAACCCCCGTTTTAATAACATGAAATGTTAATGCGTTTATCTCGAAATTCACTTTTGTCGCTGCGCAGGCCACGAGGCCACTTCGTGAAAACTGTGACGATATAGGCAAGGGAGGCGCTAAGTTTCATTTTTGCGTCCCGGAATCATACCAAAAACAATTAAATCACACGCACAAAAGCGGTGAGATAATTATTGCTTCCGGCCGCAGGACACAACAAAAAAACCCAGGTTGATTTCCGGAAGCTGGCGAAGAATCATGTCCGCATCGTTAACTGATTATAATTACACTCACACACCTATCTACTCTGTCCATATAGTGTAACGACCCATCTCTAATTTTGTTCGGTAAAATTTGCATTAAAAAAAAAAAATTATGCACAGATTGAAAAAAAAAAAGAAGGAAATAAAGAATTTACCTACAGTTTGTCTTCTGCGCAATAATGACCTGCCAGTGTCACAAATAAGGTATCTGAACATACTTATCTTACCGTTAATAAATGCCTATAACCCCTGAGCTTCCGGGGCTCCGCCTCTTGGCACCCGCCGGGGCAAAGCCCCTAGACCCCACGCCAATTTACGCTCAATTCGCTTTGCTCGCTACGCCCGGCCCCCCCACTCAGAGGTCGGAATGACCGCATGCGTGTTGCCAAAATGTCCGGTAAAGGGGTACTTTTCGTGCGACAAAGTCCGGCCCGAGAATTGTAAAAAAAGGGGTGTATTTGACTTTTCACCCGGAGATTTCTTTAAAAAGGGGGTGTTTTTCTTTTTTTCTCTCATCTCTTTGGACTCCTGAGAAATTATTCCGAATTTAGGGGGTAAAATGAGCATTTTTCCTGATTTAGGGGGGTCTCCAAGGCAGGAAAAGCCCGCGAAAAGCCCGCGAAAGGGGGGTTCGGAAATGTTGGCAGTCCTCAGATAGGGGGTGCTTTCAAAAATAGAGTACGAGCATATGCGTACCCTAAATAAAACTGAGTGGGGGGGCCGGGTCGCTACGTTCTACCTGATCCTTATTAATCCACTTTGAAAAACGTTCCGCCGGGCCTGCATGTAACGTACATGTAAAAGTGGTGGTGATGCAGTTTTTTTCTGCCACCAAACATTTTTGCTCATTACGCCACTGCCCCTGAAAGGTGAGCCTCTGGAATATTTGCCCCCTGCCCATCCCAAACTGCTTCCGGCGCACCTATGAATACCACCTCAAGCATTACATTGGGACACTTTTTTAAAACTCATTCCTCATCAAAATTCTTTACCACAAGCTCTATAGAGTTCCAAGTTTCTTGATATCAAGCTTTTTATCATTAAATTGAAACTGAGACACAAGTATTCATGACAACATTCCTGGGCGAAAGTTGGGTAGCGTGTTCGATGGTATAGTAACGAGATACGAAACATTATGGAGTCAGTCCTGGCAGCAGAACACAATTCAAAATGGATAGAAATACTGAAAATGCCCGTATATTGCCAATATCATGTTCAGAAAAAGTTCCATATACTCAATCTATTAAATCTATCAAATGGTGCTGCAGGGGGGGGGGGGGGGGGGGGGGGCGTAAGAGCACTTTTCAAAGTCTTATTTTGACCCGGAAATTGAAAATTACGCCTTCCGATATTTCGTTCAGTGGTTTGGGGGGGGGGGGAACTTAAGTAACACTTTTTTTTTTTTTTTTTTTTTTTTGGGGGGGGGGGGCCTCCTTTAACCATTTTAACACCTTTTACAATTACAAATATTTGAGGGGGCCGGGTTTACCCCCCCCCCCCCCCCCCCTGCGTACGCGCCTGGGTGCATGCATTCAAAACATTATTAACCACAGCAAACCTGATGAGGGAATCAACATGTATACAGTATACCACATGTGTTTTCAACATGGCTGTTGCTTAAAGGTAAAGACCAGTTATGGTCATGCGATTGCATTGTGAAAGAAACGTTGTGGAATCGATCAGAAAAGGTTGATCATCTAGCATCTAGCATCTGCAAGGTTCTGGAATCATCATAATGATAAGAAATTTGGCCCATTCTTCGTAAAGTTATAAGCACTATACACAGAAAGATGTATATGGGACTACCCTATATCTCTCACAGACCATGAGAGAAACAAATTTACCAAATATATGAATTAGTAGGCGGTTTCCCGGCAAATTTTGTATCATCATGTATTAGTCAAAACATATTCTTTCACATGATTGGTAATGAGAGCTTCCATTTCATTTTTTGAAATTGGGGCGTTTCCAATATAGGAGCTAGCTAAAATGATATACAATGTCAGATGATACCTCGATCGTTGCAATTTGTTTTCTTATTTCATCAGTGCTCAGCATCATCCAAAATGAGCTTCGATATTTTTTTTTAGAGAACGATAGGCGTTTAGATTCATGAAAAATAGAAAATGATCACGACCGTGACTTGATGAAGAGTTCTCGTGACTCATAAATTAATATATTCACTGATTTATAACAATTTTTTTTTTTTATCAAAGATAATTAAAGTTCGTTCGTTCGTGTCTCCTTAGTTCAAGCTGAATGTAAAGTTCCTAACTCAAATTAAATTAAATTAAGTTCTTCCATCACCCGAGTGGCTGCGATGGCCGTCTCATTTAAATACCGGACATATTATGGTGGCTCAGTGGTAGAGCGTCTGCCTCAGGAACGGGAGGTCGTGGGTTCAGCGAACTCCGCCCGAGTCATACCAAAGACTTATAACAATGGGACCTTCTGCCTTCTAGCTAGGCGCTCAGCATATTTGATTGGAGAAGGGTAGTAATAACATATTTATGTTATGCAGGGCCCGCTGGAAGAGCAGTTTCATAACTGAAGTGGCTACCGGGTAAATAAAAACGGTTATTATTATTTACAAGGGACATGTATTCATCTGTGCAACACTTTCTTTCCGGCAAGAAGATAAAGTAACTCCTACTTACTTACTTGATGACAAGCCCTCCTAACTCCGAGCCCCCCCCCCCCCTCCCCGATCCACGCCCCTCTGTACCCACATCAAATTGTAAATTCTGCTCATTGGTTTTCTCTTTATTTATTTCCTTGCTACATAGTTTTTGAAACGCAATATTCTTTTCATGTTTGCCAACTCGAAGACACAATCGTTTCAATCACGACTAAAACAAACCGGCTAAACTGAGTTAAGAAAGGTAAAGTCTAATTTTTTGATTGTTTGATAGAATTCGTTTATGAAAAAATTATGTGATTTCGTGAAAATTACACTATGCTTGTATTCAAGTATGAATTTTCTCATTAATACGAGAAAACTTATAGAAATGTCGTATTTACCATTATATTACACGATTCTTAATGATATGAAAACACCATATGGGACTAGGTATTCGTACGTTACAGCAGCCAGAGCAGACGGCTAGATGGCGCCTTACGCCGCGTAGGAGCATGTATATCTGCATAGCCTACCATGTCCCACGCACTTCAGTCTCTGTTTAGAGGCTGTCAGTGAAGCCTGACATAGTCTTAGTGGAACAACTGTTGATGAAAGAGAATGAAGTTTTGGTCAAGCACTGGCGAGTCTGGTACACAAATGGTCTACTTTTAGTGTAGTTCTAGCTGCAACTATCCTAGACCAAATTTTTCTGTCTCTTTCGTTCGTTAGCCTCTGATTTGGGTAGGGTCGGCTCCTCTCTTAAGGCTAACAAACAATGATTTCACATGATTGGTAATAAGAGCTTCCATTTCATTTTTTGAGAGGGGGCGTTTCCAAAACTGGTCTTTACCTTTAAGATTCTTGCTGATGCCATATGTATACTCGGTCTAATTGGGGTGTGCAGGTAGACCACTACACCGGGGTTTCCCCCTACTCTTATACGAATAGTGCAATGGGTTCTTAACGGGCAAGGGTGGTGAATCTTCTGTATGTGGGGTCCTCCATTTAACGTCCTATCCGAGGGACGGAGTGTTTTCCATTTAACATAGCCTGCATCTATGAAAAAAGGGGAGAGGCACATTAAAGCTTATCTGCCGTAGTTTACAGGAGGGATTAGACCGCTCTGCAAGGTCACTGGACAGGTGGTTATCTCATCAACTCAGCTCTCAGTTAACATAAGAAAGAGAGGATCATGGGGGACCAATGGTCACCGATTAGGCATTGTTTTTTATATAGAGGGAGCAAGTAGCTACGAGTAGTGCAGTAGGCCTTTAACACACAACGCAGGCTTCAGTCATCCACCTGGGTGGGAGTCGAACCTGAGAACTTTGGTCCGACAGGCAGACGCTTTACCGACTGAGCCAGCTCGCCGCCTCGGTATTTGGATACATCTCTCCCTCCAATAGAATGTATAAAAAGAAAAGCCAAAATAGAGGACAGGTCTAGGCAGTAGCCCACTCACTCATGAGGGTTCAAACTAAGTATCAAACAACATCCTTCAAATAAGTCAGCAATTTATGTATGAACATGTATCGTAAGTAGCCTGGGTTAAAAATGTCTTTGTCCCTGTCATCTGCTAATTATTTTTGCTCTATAATACAATTTTTTCTTTTTCTATAGTTCACAGGATTGAACTTCAATTAAACTGACAAGTCAACCATGTTCCAAAACTGCAAAAAATGTTATGGTAGCCTTCCAGCATCAGTTCTGTCCAGAATCAATCAAAATCTGTTAAGCGTCTCTCAGGGAGGTTCAGCATGGAAACAGACTTCATGTCTTCTTCGGGCAAGACATGAAGCTGTAGGAAGAAGAACTTTATTAACTTCAGGACAACAGCACTTGTCACCAGAGCAGGAATTAGCAGTCAGGAGCACAGTGTGCTATCATCAAGGTTTCCACAGAGAGGGGACTTTCCCTGAGAGTCTACCGGTATTGCTTTCTCAGACGATCGATGATCCAAAGAATTCTGGGATGACCGTAAAAGACAAGGATTACTTGTACACTCTCAGGAACAAGGTTTGTCCAAGACACCCGTCATCAGAATGTGGACTCCCTCGTCTTTCAAGATGCAAACGATTGTTTCCAGATTGGAGAGGGATGCAGAAAGGCATCTTTATCACAAGACCAGAGAAGAGATACTTCTCATCCTCTTCAAATCTCTCTCATCCAGCCAGAGAGGAGAATGTGATGAATATTTTTGACCGTAAGACAAAGAGGAAGCAGAGAGACCGGGCTGCACTGGCAAAAGATGTGGAGGTGTATGATTACATCAAAGATGAGGTAATTAATCAAAGAATATCTCAAGGGTCTTATCTGATTTTGTTGGCCTCATATTTGGCAAGTTTTTCTAGAGTTTGCCTGAATAATGGAAGTAAAAGAACCAATGAAATATTACAATCTCATGACAGTGGTCTTTTTCATAACAATTATTTTTGGTGTGTCTGTCCCATTTTATAATATCAATTTGAGTGCAATCTGCATTCCCTGATCTGTTAATGCATGTCTCCTGGTTAATGCAGGCAAGTAAATCATTCTATTAATAGAACCCTTTAATGAAAAAAAACAAAAATTGATAAGATATGTATGGAAACTGGAAACCATCCTCTGATTTATGTTGTTGTTTGGAGTAAGATCAAAGTGTGCAGTTATAAACAGTTTTACTCAATGTGACTTCAACTTGAATACAGTCTTATTTATTTCCTTTGGAAAAGTGATAACTAAAACTGAAAATTCATATATATGCAACTTCACTTAATCTCACTTAATCTAAAGCACTTTATTAGCCATTTATGATGTGTTCAAAAAAGTTGCGAACTTTTATCCATGACTTGTAGAAAAACGTATTTTCTGTATTTTTCATCAGTTATTTCATTTGTTGTTGTTATTTTAGAAAGTACCGGTATATCTACTCATATTCATTGCAATTTTTATCGTTTTTGTTATCAGATAGCTTATCGGATGGTGGACAGAATAAGAGATGTGACCAGGTAAGATGCCAAGAAGGAAGTGAAATGTTCATCCATTTAAGCAATGATTATTAAAAGGGACGTGGTAACATTGTTCAGATGAGAGAAAATGGTGCTAATGGGGCTTTCGCAGATACAATCCGGGACTCGTATGGCGAGTAAAAACAGACATTTGGTAAGCTTACCGGTCACCTCTCTGGCGCCGCAGAATATGTGACCACACATGCCGTAGAAATGAAGATCGGAAGGGTCTTGAACGGTCACTAAAATCCACGGCAAGCCACTAGGTAGGGAAAATTATGAGGGGCCCGGTGCATATGCGACCTAGGCATAAGGTAGTGAATTCAATGTTAGATGTACAAATTAAGATAATCTGAAAGTTTGAGTGAAAACAGGACATTCTGGCTTCAAAATGTGGGAAAATAATAACTATTAGTTGTCGAATCAACTTAAGAGCTATAGAGCCAGTAAGTAATAGTCTGATTTTCAGACCATTGTACCGAATGGTCATACGTTTTATGTTGTTCAAAGATTTAATCAGTTTAATTTTGGCCATTACAAGAAGTGGGTTATTGATGTAGACAAATGCTCATGTACGCTTTACAGCTCATTTTATGTATGTTATTACCAGAAAAGGAAAAAAAGCCAGTCAGTCACTCAATAGTGTCTGACAGTGAAGTCAATGAGCAAGTAAACGGTTTCCTTGCATAATTTGAATATTAGGACACTGCTAACGTGTAAATTTCACAGATAGGACATTCATGACATATTCATAATTCCTGCAAAGTTCTAAATAATTTGATATTGGCTGCAAAAGGGACATAGTAACTTTAACTAGTACATAGTTCATTAATGTTTAAGTTGATCGCATTAAGTATTCAAATAATTTTGTCCTCTTGTTTCACAGAAAATTTCCAGTGGCAGTAGATCTAGGCTGTGGACGAGGATTGATGTCCAATTACTTGACAGAGGTGGGTTGACATAATGCTTTAATAGTGAATTTTAGTGGCATGAAAACACATGTCTGGAACGTGGAGGACATAATAGTTGGTGATAGCGATGAAGTAGAAACTGTAATTTCACATATCTGAATGACAGTTATAGGTATCATTTATGTAAGTTAGGCTTTATCCGACAGTTCTTAAGCTGCCTGGCCACAGAAAAGGGAGTTCATGCCATCATATGGTCTGGACTGGACTTTGGTCAGTCACTTCTTTTTCAGCTACAACAATCCCAACTTTCACACCTGCAAAAGTTTTAAAATTCAGCAGCCTGTATTGCTACCCTTACCATACTTTCTACTCACATCTCTCTGGTTTTGTCCTCTTTTACATTCGCTACCTGTTTAATTCCACACTGTGTTTAAATTATTATTGCTTGTTTTCCACTGTATGCATGGATCTGCCCCAGGCCCAGAGTATAATTTGTAGAAGCCTTATAATCCTCCCCGACACTTAAGATCATCAAATTCTAACTTGTTTGTTGTTTCTAAAACTAAGAAATCGTGGGGGATAAGTCATTATGCATGATGGGCCTTACCTAAGGAATCAGTTGCCACAAGACATTCAATGTTGAGTGTAGATTGCTCTAAAAATGCTGTTAAAACTTTAATTTTCAAAATTGCTTTACAGTAGATCGACTTGTATTTTCTAACTTGTCTCACTTTGTTCATGTTCATGCTCCTACTTTTGCTTTGTGCCTTGATCGATTAATTCATGTGGGTATGGCACATTATAAACACTCTATATTGTTATCATTATTATTTTTATTATTATTAGTAGTAGTAGTAGTACTAGAAGTAGTATCATTATCATTTTTTTAATTGTTATTACTATTGTAATTACTATTATTATTATTATTTGTGTAGTAGGGAAAAGTCACATTTAACTTTTATAATAATACTGTGCTGTTTGTACACATAACTTTAAAAATACAGATATTTACTAGAGGATTATACATTTCAAAATAGATTAATACCAGTATCAATATCCATATTACCTTGCTTCCAATAACCTTCTGGGTCGATTTCTCAATATGCATTATCTCAAGTTGAATAACGATTTTATTTCAGAGTGGCTAATAATACAGTCACAAATGTATTATTAAAATATTTACAATTTTTGTTTTTTTGTTTTATTGAATTCAATTTTCTTAGGATGAAATTGGCACCTTGTATCAGTGTGAAATGTCAGAAAAAATGTTGGTAAGTAAATATCTTAATTTGTATTCACATTTTAATGCCTTCGCCACCGAAAGGTGGTGCCAGAGGCAGTATTTTTTCGGGTTGTCTGTCTGTCCGTCCGTCCGTCCTACCACAGGTTACCGCGATAACTTTATGGATTTGAACCAAACTTGGATTGAGTATGTACAAGCATGCCAGGATAGACTGATTAGATTTTGGGTGGAAGAGGTCAAGGGATGTAGGGTTGTAAATTTGTTTTAAAATACCAAAAATACATAATTACCACGATAAGCTGTAAAGTATTGAAGCGATTCAAAGCAAGCTTGGATAATGTATGTATGAGCATGCAAGGACAAACTGATGAGATTCAGTATAAGAGATACTGGTAGAAGGTCACAGGTTCTTAAATGTAATATGTCCCATTTGCAGGCCAAAAAAATGAAAAGGTTAAATTCCAACGACATTTGAAAGATAATACTAATTTAGAACTTCCCTAAAAAGAGGGGGGGGGGGGGGGGGGGCTTGAACATGTCTTTAAGTGGAAAAATAATGACTATTAGTTGTAAAAACGACTTAAGAGCTATACAGCCAGTAAGTAATAGTCTGATTTTCAGACCATTGTACCGAATGGTTGTACGTTTTGTGCTGTGCAAAGATTCAATCAGTTTAATTTTGGCCATCACAAGAAGTGAGATATTGTTGTAGACTGACAAATGCTCATGTACCCTTTACAGCTCATTTTATTACCAAAGAAGAAAAAAAACCAGTCAGTCACTCAATAGTGTTGACAGTGAAGTCTAGCAAGTAAATGGGTTTCCTTGCATAATATGAACACTGGTAATGTTAACTTTCTCAGATAGGATATACATGACATATTCAAAATTCCTGCAAAGTTCTACAGAATTTGATGTTGGCTGCAAAAGGGACATAGTATTTTTAAAGTGTTAAAACTCTCCGAAAATGTCTTACTAACCTTTGAAAATGTGAACCAAACCAAAATGTAAGTAATGTTTTGGGTAAAACTAATACAGTACAGAATTCCATCTTCAGGTACTGAAGTCACCTACTCCTCAGTTTTGACGAACCTGATGTTAGAGGGCAGCAAACCAATAAAACAGATACTCCATTGAGCTTACATACTTGATGTTAGCTAAAGTTGTATGAACAACATATACCTTCATCTTTAAAAATGAAGGAAATAATACACAAATATATATTTAAAAAATTCACAAATATATATTTTTTTAATTATTTATTTATTTTACCATAGTCTTAAATATTGAGAGCTCTACTTCTCTCCCAAAATATCAGTCTTACTGCAAAACAAGTCTCTTTAAATTGCAATATATATAAATATCAATTGTTTAAGAGTAATGTTCAAATTAATAGGTGATTTCTTTTGTAAGTAAAGGAGGTTCAAATTGCAATTGCAAGCCTATGAAAAACCCCACAATATAGTGAACAAATTTGCTTTTCTGATCATTTGACATCATGGAAAAGTTGATGACAATTAAAAAAGCACTCAAATGTTAACATTTACATATATATATATAGTGCCTTAATCTGGGAGGATGATTGTTAACAATGTTACCAGTAAACATTGTAGAATCTAAAGTGGGTATGAAAATATTTACATTGCTAAAAGTCTATTTGTGTCTGTTTAGATTGATTCAAAATTTTAATTTTGATTTTTTGGGGCGATTTTTGGGGTTAATTTTTTTAATAGCCCTTTAATGGCCTTTCCCCAGGGGAGAAATGTAAATGTAAAAAAAAAAAAAAAAAACTCTTTTGTGTATTAGGCTTATATCATAAAAAGATTAAAAGCTCCTGAGTTCATGGATTCAGAATTTACCTGATTGATTTACCGAGGCCACAGGCTGAGGTTGAAATGGAATTGCACATAGGAAATTCTGAATTTGGAGGTGAGTTTCTGTATATATTGAATGACAATATGCATTCAATATTTGTTATATATATATATATATATATATATATATATATGCCTGGCTTTTTCTCAAGTGAACAACCCTGTTAATGTTGCCCCATGCATTATATTTGTGTGGCCAAGACAATGCAATCAATGGGTTTGGGCAAAAAGTGTGGTGCACTCAGTCTAATTCACTTCTGTATGCAATATACCATGCACACAAGTTGGTTATATTGCACACTCGTGCACCAAACGAGTTGTTGAGTTTCACATGATAGCTTTTCAGCCAATTAGATGTTCTTTCGAAAAAGAACCCTATATATTTATAACTATGTCATTTACAGATCTTAACTGCTGTAAAGGCCCCGTCTAATAAAGAGTTGATATTAATAATAGCAACTTAATTGCAATTGATATCAATCGCAACTATGTACAAAAGAGACTGCAAACTTCCGATTGACTGAAGGAATTGCGATTGATCCAAATCGATTGCAATTCTTTATAAAAACGAGCCCCAGGGTGTCAATTAAATTATGCAAAAAAAATATAGCTAGATCAGTTCCAGGGCCCTATCTAATAAAAGAAATGTGATTGATTGAAATCAATAGCAACTTGAGATTGATTGCAACTCTTATCACTCAAGTATGCAGTTGCAACTTATTTCAATTTTAATTGATTTGAATCATATTCAACTCTTTACAATACGGGGCCCTGAAAATACCGAAGAACCCTGGATCTTGTCCCAAAAATGAATATGCAATGATAACTATATGTGCTATTTAATTATGACTTCAAAGGAGCGCCAGGTGCGCTGGCCGTAATCCATATCGGGCAAGAAATATGTATTTACTGATAGAAGTTCATTGGAATGCAATTTTTTTTCTTCAATTTTGGAAGGCGCGAATCTTGACACAAGCGATGTTGGGAGACACATTGGGGCTGTAATTGGTTCTTTACCCTGAGGAGCTTTTCAGTCTCATGTCATCTGGAAGCCTAATGTTGGCTGCCGGAGTCATCCATTATCGGTAGGAGTCACCAAAGGGCGATTGACTTCAAATTGAAATTTAACTTTCTGATTGGATTGGGATAAGACGTGTTGTCTTGTGATATTTGGTGGGTGAGAATGAAAAGATGATGGTGATGGTGATCATGGTGGTGGTGTATATGGTAGCTGGATGTTTTTGTTTATGTTGATTCAAGAGGGAGAAAGAGAGGTGATGGCGAGGGAGGGAGGGAGGGAGGGAGGGAGGGAGGGAGGGAGGGAGGCAGGCAGGGAGGGAGAGAGAGAGATAGATAAAGAGGGAGGGAGATAAAGCAAGAGAAAGAGAGAGAGAGAGAGAGAGAAAGAATGAAACAGAAACCAAGGCAATGACTGAGTGGTATATTTATAGGTTATTGTCTGTTTATGCATATGCTCTTTCTGACTGATTGATTGATTGATTGATTGATTTTTATTCGCTAAGCTTCCAACATACAATATACAAGAATAACAGATCAAAATTAAGTCAGCTTGAACAGGATAACCCACGAAAGCTCAAGAGCTTATCTCCAGTGGGGTTCCCGACAAACATGTACACAATTAGTAAGTTAAAACTTAAAATAGTAATATTTACAGACAGACAAGAAAAAAACTTATTAAAGATGATAATGATCATAATGAGAATAACAACATTAAACTGATGATAGAAATGATAATAAGTACAAGTAGAAAAATAAGAAGGAAAAGAAGAAAAAGAGGAGGAGGAGGAGGAGGAGGAGGAGGAGGAGGAGGAGGAAGATTGTGCTAAGGGTGATATAGGGTGGACTGCCAAGAGAGTTTTATTTTCATGTGGAATTATAATGTCATAAAGCGATTAGCAATGACGGGGAAAGCAATTAGGGTCTAAAGGGTGTATAATAGAGAGTATGTATGATGAGAACAAGTGTTAGATGAGAGGGTACAGGAAAGAGCTCTGCGTATCGTTGCCTGGTTGAATGTCTTGCCATACAATGATCTCCTGCATACTTTGAATGTAACCTCCCTAAAAGAGAGACGGAGTAAACTCATTGGTAGGTTTACGCTTTTCTTGCTACAATTGAAACGACATCGCTATCGCTACTTCTTGCCTAAAACCGGTCGCTCCTTCAGGAATGTCCATTATCTTGAATTACCCCAAACTAAAACTAAAAGATATCAGTGGTCACCAATATCCCATCTTGTGCAATTATTGAACTCTATAATGTAATTTCATAACCGTCATGAACTACACCGTTGCAATATATATCACTTAATTATTCTTCAATGAACTTGTAATTATTTACCTAATATTCTAAATATAATCATAATTTCCCATTTTATCTTCTTTGTGCAATAATAATAATTAGCTATTTCCAATTTATTTGCATGATGTTTATTTGCCTAAATTTTTTTCAATCTCATAGTTTGGATTCATGTAATTGCAATCACATAAATACATCAAATATTATATTTGGGTATACAATTTGTAAGTAATTTTTATATCACCAATTTGGATTTAATATATTGATTTACAGTCATTGTAAGGTACTACCAGTATATTCCCTATTTATGTCCATATCATTATTGAGTTATGTACACAAATTATTGGCAGTTGGTATCATGCATATTTCATTGTGATTTTGAAAGGCTTATATTATTATATTTTTCCTCACTTACAGAATTAACTCAATTTAGTCAAAGAGTTTTTTTTGTGAGTGACTTCTGAATTACCGTTGTGAATTGCCAATTTTTAATGATATATATGGACTTTTTTTCGTCATAAAACATTTCTCTTCTTACCCCTGGCTTCCACTGGACCATTAATCTGATAAAAATCTTTCCAATTGAATTCAAGATGATGAGAATTACTGTTTAACATTATCTTTTTGAATGCATGAAGTCACATTCTTCTTTTTAGTTTTTATTGAACTACATGTACTACTTTGTATATATGTAAATGTAAAAGTTATAACCTTATCTCATGTTTTCTTGTATATTAATGTAAATATGATGATATCAGTCTCCAGACTTTTGCCATGCTCTTTTTTTTAACAAACAAAAACGAAATTGAATTGAATTGAATTGAATAGAATGAAAAAGGGGGAGAGGAGAATAAAAGCAAGAAATTGAAAAAAGCATGACTAGGAGTGTTGTAACATCAAGCAAACTATTCATGTAAAATTGAAATTATGATATTAATTCCTGTGAAGAGCTCAATGGAATTTAAAACAAATCAAAGCAAACAAATAGTGAATCGATTGAAAAAGGAGATCAATTCCAAAGTTGTAACTAGGGTACCAATGTATATATCTGTTTTATCCATCATAGGACCAGGCCCCCGCCCCAGAGGGTGTGAAGACCATCAAGCTAGTAGTGGATGAAGAATTCATTCCTTTCAAAGAGGAGTCCTTGGATCTAGTCATAAGCAGTCTGAGGTGAGTGTCGTTTTTTCAAATTACATGACTTTGTGTCCCTACATGGGATGAGTTTCTTTTCTGTTACTGTATGAAGTCATTATATTGGTTTCTTATTTGAGGGGAGAAACTCCTACTCACTGCAAGATATATGTCGCTGATTATAATCACCATGAATCCTAGTAATAGGTTTAAAATCACAACCTCGTTGAGGGCAGATTAGGAAGTAGAATATAGGAAATGAATTTAATGCAGAAAAAGATACAGCGCACACTGCACAGAAAGTTAGAGAAATATGAGCCAAAGAAAAAATATGGAAAAAGTTTAAAAAAACAAGACCTAAAAGCAAAAACATGTAAAACCTAAGGGTAGAAGGAGAAGACATGAACAAACCAAAGCTAATTTCATCCTTTTCCCCCTTTCCATATCTCTTCAGTCAAGTTTGTCCATTGTGTTTCCCTGAAATTGGATAAATGTCAAATGCAAAGTGAAACACCCCCAGGGAAGTGATTGTGATGGAAATATGATACTACTGCTGACATGGAGGGCAGTTTTATGTGTTGAAATAAAATGACTCTATCCCCAATATTTTAGGGGGAAAGTTACTTTATTTTCACTATTGTATTTTCACTTTGTAATAAAACTTGATTTGATTTGAGATGTGAAATGCATTTACTCTTTGTTTCCTACATTGGAATATAATTCAGCCATCATAAAATCCTGTATTGATTTATTGAATAAAAAGTAAAGAAGTTGAAATTTCATGCAAATTCATTGTGCTCTAATCCAAACCATTTTTTGGCCATCAATACTGCTTGATGAACTTTTTTTTCTTCTCTAAACTGCTTGTTTTTCTGACATTTGACAAAAATGTTTTAATACATAGCTCTTCTTGACAAGGTAATGATGAGAGTAAAGGAAACTTTGTTATTAATTAAACATGAGTAGTTGTTCATCTTGCCTTCATATATCTGAGAATCTGAGTTTAATTATATATATATATATACAAAATAACTTGTGATCCAGCGACATAGTGCATAAACAGGTTAAGACAGGATGGTGTCATGTGTACCAATGCAGTATGGGTGCTAATTAAAGCCTAGCCCATTATCCTCAATTTCACTTAATACGGTATCTCAATTTATTTAGAAATGACTGAAAACCAGAAATACTAGCATGCAAATTGATTACTCAAGGCTTGCTCATTATACATCTATGCATTTTTTTCATTTTTTTTTCCTTCTCATCTTTTCTTCCCCCCTTCTCATTTCTCTATGTGTCTCATTCTAATTCTATCCCTCTGCGCGGCAGAAAAGTTTACTAGATCGATGGCGCATAATAAATGCTGTATTATTATTATTACTATTATGTACATAGAATTTGAATTCAGTGCACACTTAAGTTGCTCCCCACCTATTCTTCATGGCACTGACAAATAATATAATGCCTTCTGCCTAGCCTAAATACACCAGTCTCTGGCTGTGTCAACTAAGAAAGGCTACAGTACAGAGCCTATAGGGCGTCGAGACAACAGTTGCTATAGTCTCACATTGCAGACCCTTGGTCATGTGTAAAAACCGACGAGGGTGTGTGCCTGCAATTAATTACCCCACGCCACCGTGGGTGTGTGTTTTCTTTGAGTCAGACTAGATAACACCTGTGCCTTTCTTCAATTTGATGGATTTAAATGTTCGTGTGGGCTCACTGAGGTGTGGAATCACGTGAAGTAATGTAGCGTGCAGTGAGAAGAAACATGAAAGTCAAATTGGCTAGCCATTTATAGACGTAGGTGCCCGAAGTGACGGGAACACAAGGTGTTTCTACCAGGAAATAAGCCTAGACCATTTTTCACTTTCGTTTTTCGAGCTTCTGTCCTTTTCATGTTTTACGTTATATTTTCCTTGTAATTACCCTGAGGGAATCGTCTGACTTTTTCATCATATATCCATCACTTGGCTAGATGAAAAGGTAGACACTAACTATGTTCACATGATGGTACTACTTTTGAGATTAATTTCATCATGAGCTGAGAGTAGTAGCTTTAAGGTCCTTTAGTTAGCATCCACATGATGTCATTATTTTCCAAAGCGAAGCACTCTTTGATATTTTAAGCGTCAGCTTTCACCCACGGTGGTAGAAAATGTGGATGACGGAAGGTGTGTAGCTACATTCATACACCCTCCTAGGTCACTGTACTGGGTTACTCAAGTGTACTCAAGTGAATTGTTCAGGTGAAAGATTATTTCTCAAGTTGCATGTTGCTACTGAGTTATCTTAAGACAGAAAAAGTGCCCTATTTTCAAAAGTGAGTTATTATTTTGCTATACACACTCTACTTATCAGTATAATGTTGATTGTTTCGCTCGAAACTAAAGCTTTAATCTGAACGAGGCTAATAAGAAGAAGGATAAATGATGTTTTTGTTCTTTTCATGGCTTGAGGGAAGCAACACCCAAGAAATAACATAGCACCTAAAAGATAAATGTCAGCAGATTGTCTGCACACTCTCATGATCAACGTCCATAGTGCTCAATCTTCAAACATTGTCTCCCTTTCCCTGCCTTCTTCCCCTGTCCCCTCTCTCTGTATTGTGTCCTTTCTCTATGTTTAATCACTTACTGAGTATCGTATTGATCATTTTTTTCTCTTCTATCCTCTCTCTCCCTCACGTTCTTCTCTCTCTCTCTCTGTCAGTCTGTCTGTCTGTCCCTCTATCTCAGCTCCTTATCTCTCTCTCCTTTTATTTTTCTTTAATTTCACTTACCTGGTAACCTTATAGACCCAGACTTTGAAACAATACTTATCTTTTTGAAAGGTGACTTCATTCACAGTGAGTGAAATGCAAAAAGCTTTATAATTAAACCTTTTCGGCCATTTTTCTTCAAATTTAGTTAAACCCAACCCTTTAAAGTCTACATCATGTTTAACAAAGAAAAGCTTTAATAGACCCCTGACCAACTACCTTTGTTAAACCCAATTTCGAACAACAGTTGGAACTCAGCGATGGGTTCAAACTTTAGTAGAATACAGGCATTAGTGTACAACTTTTACATAGTATCCCTAACTAAAGGTTCATCTGTGAATTTTTTTAAAAGAAGCTAATTTCAACTGATTTGGGTAAGTATGGGTATGGACAACTACCAAAAAAAAGGGAGGAGGTATGGGGGTTGGGGAGAGTTTTTTATTAGAGGTCAAAGGTCAATGACCTATGCCTAAATCACTTAAAATTGTATTTCAGCAACAAAATATGGTATATAGATGATCTTGGTGTCAAAATGCATAGAATTACGAAAGAAGATGACATAGAGTAACTACTGAACCTTAGAATAAAATCTTGACCTCCGAAAATGAGGTCAAAGGTCAAAAAACTATTTTACCTCTAAAATATGTCATATTTATAACAGTAAAATTACCATATCATATAAAAATGAGCACAAACAAATCAAAGAGGCTAATTTCAACTTATTTTGGCGGATATGGGGGTATGGGGGTTATTATTTATTCCAAGAGCAGAGCGGGAGGGGTAAATTTCCTTTCTGAGGGTCAAAGGTCATTGACCTTGCACTAAAACACAATACATTGTATCTCAGCAACAAAATAAGGTATATAGATGATATTGGTGTCAAACTGCACAGGATTACGGAAGAAGATGACATAGAATAACTACTGACCCTTAGAATAAAATCCTGACCTCCAAAAATGAGGTCAAATGTAAAAAATATACGTCTTATCAGTAAAATGTCCTATAAGTAACAGGGAAATATTATGTAAAAATGAGCACAAACAAATCGAAAAGGCTAATTTCAACTTTAAGAGGCAGGAATGGAGGTTATTATTTATTCTAAAAAGAGAGGAGGGGGAAATTTCCTTTTTGAGGGTCAAAGGTCATTGACCCTGCATTAACACACTAGAAATTGTATTTCAGCAACAGCATGTTTTACATAGGCCTCGATGATCTTGGTGTCAAAATGCACAGAATTATACTGGGAGATAAACTGGCGGCTCTGTTTTTTTAAACTGTAACAGTTCTCCTTGGATCAGATATAGACCTAATCAATTTCTGTATAACTTGCAGGAATTATGAATATGTGTCCTATCTGTGAAATGTAAACGTTAGCAGTGTCCTAGTATTTACACTCTCAATCTCTATCTTTTCCCTCTCCCCTCCTCCCCATCCCTCTCTTTCTCTCCCCACCCCCTCCCTCTCTCAATCTCTCTCAATCTCTCTTTTATTTATTTTTTGTTATGTATACCTTTTTAATAGTTTTGCGGGACTTCTGTAGATTATGTTGATCCGTAATCATTTGAGGTAAGCTCTGCTCCAGGATGAGGAAAGAAAGATCAAGAGAGTTCAAAATAACCGGAAATAGCACCCACCTCTTATCCGGCCTAGGCCCATTTTGTCATAAGATAAGACCAAAATATGTGATTGCCAGATGATTTTCTTTGAAAGCAACACGGATTTTGTTCTTCTATGATTATAAACACGACGATATAGTTTTTCATATATTTTTATCATATGTATTTTTACAATGTGTGACCAAGACAATTTTCCATGTGTTCTTGTGAATTTGGATGAATACAAAGAATTTAATTTAATTTGATTTAATTTTATAAAATGAATTAACACACAAATGAAGCCAATAAACAATAAATATCAATAACATTGTAATATAAAGTCACAGTTCAGTTGCACAATCATAAAAAGCATGCAAACATGTTGAATGTACATACATCTTCTTGCACTTGAATCACGGGTTCTCCTCCTCTTCCGCCTGCTACATCGGGTGGCCATGTCTCGGGTACTACCCTCTACTGAAATAAAATATAGATATAAATGGGAAAACCTCTTTTTGATACAAGAAATACATGAACCCATTGATTTACATTAATTATTTTCGGTTGTGAAAGTTTATCAGAAAAACACTGGGAAAAAGAAAAGAAAAGAAATTATATTTTGTAGTAAGTGATCACACAACCCGCTCCCCCCCCCCCCCCACCCCCTCACTGAACGAAATATT